CACCTTTACACAACTAAGAAATCTAGACAATAATCCAATCAGCAAGAGAAAGTTGTACAGTTGAAGAAAACAGGTTGTTTTTTAAAAAAAAAACTAAAAAATAATAAATAAATAACTAAAAAAAAAACAGAAAAAGATTAAAAATCCTTTGTTTAGAGGACGAATTCCATAGATCTATCTGGTTTTTGCGGGAACAACGAACAACATGTTCACCTATCACAAGTCTGCGATTATCATATAGATTGCAAAGATAAGAGTGATGAACATGTTGATTTTTGCGCTCAACAACACCAACAATACATAAAAAGAGGATGTTTATGGACATTTTCACCAGTTAGAACAACTGGTATTAGAATATTTTATCCATTTTATGAATTTAAAAAGTGTTCTGATAAAAACAAAATTGTCGTCTGCAAATCTGGACAATATAAATGTTTTTATACAAAATATTGTATTTCAATAGATTTAGTATGCGATGGAATAAATCATTGTATAAAAAATGATGATGAATTATTTTGTGGTGAAAAAGAGAATTTTAAAAGAAAACAAATTCCTAACTTTTTTTTTGTTTTCAGAAGGAAAATTTATAAAATGGACATTCAAATGTAGAAATGAAACAAACCACCATATTCATTTGGATAATGTTTGTAATGGTGTAGTTGATTGTACATATGGCAGTCATGAACTGTTTTGTTCAAATTTTTGATAAGAAATTTAAAATATACTTTAAATTTACTTCAACATCTAGACATTTCTAACAATAAAATTGAAAATCTTGAAGACATTATTCAATTGGAAAGTTTCTATTTAAAATATTTAGATATTTCATCCAATCCATTTGAAATATTTCCAAATAATATGTCAATGTTTAAATATTTAAAAATTTTAAAAATAACTAATTGCAACATTAAAACAATTAGTAGTTTATCATTTAGTTCATTTTCAATGTTAAAACAATTACATTTAAATGGAACTGACTTTCCTGTTGGTGATAATGAAAAAATTGTAGATAATCTTAAAAGTATACAATTTATCTATAATAATCAATTTTCATTGTGTTGTTTAATATGGAAAATTAGAAAATTGAAAATTTTATGCCTACCGTCTTCTTCGCAGTTCAACACTTTTTCAGATCTTTTAAGTTCAAATTATACTAGATTCATTTTTTGGCTTTTTGGTATTACTGAATTAACTGGGAATATTGTTCCATTTATATTGTTGATTAAAATGAAATGTTTACTATCCAGTTTTAGAGCAACGTTACTTTTTGCCAATTTTTTAACGTCTTTATACATGCTTTGTATAGCTATTTTGGATTTATACTTTAGAGAAAATTATATCGAAAATGATGTTAGGTGGCGCCACAGTATACTTTGTAGACTACTTGGATTTTCTATAACATTTTCAATGCTACTCTCCTATAGTAGCATTCTTGTGATAACTGTGGAAAGACATCAGGCAATACTTTATTCCTATAATTTATCAATTGTTCAAAAATGTAACAAACAAATATCAGCCATTTTAATTCTAATTTGTGCTTTATTATCAACTGTTCAAACAACTTGGTTTATGGTAAATATACTTTTTGTGTGACCTTGACATTTATGTACACCTTTCAATTTCTTTTAAGGAATCTTTTATAAACACACCAATATGCTTTAATATTCGAATTAGGAGTGAAAGTGAAAGAGGATGGATATTTTCATTTATTATCTTCAATATAGGACTATTTTTAATTGCAATTTTAAATAGTATTTTATATATAAGAATACTTTTAACTATTCAAAAGTCAATGGCATAATTTAAAGATAATATTAAAGTTCAAACAAATGCTTTTAAAGCATTTAGACTGGTTTTTATGCTGATAGTTTCAAATGTAATGTGTTGCCTACCAATTTCAATGTTAGGAATTTTGTCTACATTTGTAAAAATTTATTTTTCAAATGATATTTATGCAATTATTATAGCAGTTTTTCTACCTTTGAAAAAAATCAAAAGAATTTCACAAATAATTTTATGGATGAATATTACATTGAAATTCAATCAATACCTAAAAGAGAATTTTATACAAAATTAAAGTTTTTTTCAATGATTAAGGATATTGGCAATGAAATCTGTGAAATGCATAATGCATCTGTTACATTTGAAGATGACCTACTTTTAAATAACATTCTGTATCATGTTGTTACTAAAATTAATTTCTTGTACTTCTTTCAAAATAATGTTGATATTATTTTTTTTTGTTAGAAAATTAATGAAATTTTTTTCATCAAGTCAAGAAAATTTATCAAGTTAGATGAAGATAATGAAAAACAAAATATTCAAGATTTTGGTTTAATTGTTAGGAAATGTTTACCAAAATATCAAACATCTAACAAATTTTTGTAAATAAATAAAATGTTTTTTTAAATTTAAAAATTTAATTTTGCGTATTTTTTATTTTGTGGCGGATTTTTTAAAGACTTGTCTTACCTAATGAAAAAGTAGTTAGGAAGAGCAAAATTTCGTATTTCTCTTGAAGGTCTATTTCCTCATCCTGTTTTTTTATCATTGAGGCTTTTATTAGGGATAAAGAATTTTTCCACATAAGAGCTTCCCAGGGCTCTCGAGATAAATCGTAGGGCTCAATAGGCTACAAAGAAATTTTATTGAAAGCTCTATGGAATCCTAAGGGTTGGTTACTCTCCGGCTTCTCCCTATATTGTTGTAACATTCAAAATCAAAGCCTGAGCTTGAGCAGTCCATTAGCTCCAGCTATTTTAGTAAGGAATAGATCAATATCCTTAATATCTTTCATCATATTTGTCAGATTCTCTCCAACAATATATTATATGATGATAGTTGAAGAATTCTTAAAAAAAAACAATAAGATGAGAATGTCGTTTACGATTTTATCTTCAAATTGTCACATTATCTTCTGAATGATTCAAAATCCATTACCGGTTTTCTGTAAATTTCTTCAGGAATTATAAATAATTCAACTACATTTTACTGACAATCAATCTGAGCAGATGTAGTAGATATTAATTCAACTTTTAAACATCCAATCCCAAGCTCTTTGAGGCTAAAGATTATATTTTTAATACTTTTCCAATAAGCATAGAGGCTGCACAATTTTGAATAGAATGCATTGAGCTAGATCTAGTTCAGTTGTTGAGAAATACCTCTGAAATATGGTGAGGTTTTAATTGGATAAATTGTTAAACTACAGTTTCTCTTCACCCTTCTAGAGGATTTTTATTGGTACTGTTGGAAATACAGTGATAGCTCAAACAAGGAACTGCTGCTTGAAAACAACCACATCTATTGTTCAAATATAATTTTTAATGGGAAATTTCGCAATAAATAGTTAAATAAATAGCTTAGTCAAAGTATCCTGTATGTATTCCAAAAACATGTTGAATCTGATAATGTTTCTTGCCCACATCTTCCTTTATACCTAGTTATAATAATTTAGGAAGTTTGGCAACTTCTAATTTTGGTTCTTCAATTTCACTGTTGATTTTCATTCTGATTGATTGTGCTGCTGCAGTTTGGAATCTGCATCCTTTCCTTGTATAATAGATAAATATCTTCTTGCAAGAATGCATAGGATATTGATTTTGTTCTGCATCTACAAGATTTTTCTTGACCTTGAAGAAATACTGAGTTTGGTCACATGTACCATATCTTATATCTTCTTTTGTGATGTGGTAAGCATGATGAAGTATTGGGTCTATTGAAAATAAGAGATCCTTATATTTGATCAAAATTTCTTTTGAACATAATTCATTTTTTGTTATAATTGTTGTGTCACAAACTACTTGAACAATACGTGTATTGAGGGTTGTTAGATCTCCTAACCATGTACTAAGGGTTCCAAGTATTGTTGGTAGTTGAGGGGGTGATACTGGTGTAAGTAGTGCTATCATCTTGTTCCTCATGATAAATTCTTTGAATAAAAGTTGTTTAGCCATCAGTTGAAAAGTTTAAATTGAAGTTGTCAACATCCGATTTCACTTCAACATACCCTCTTATTAAATTTCTGCAACATGGACATTTTGGTGTTTGAAGGTTCATTAAACAATTTTTGCAACATATTACATGACTACAAGGAAGCAATAGAGAATTTGCAATATGGTTAAAGCACATTTTGCATTGTAGATTATCATAAATTTCGTGATATTTTTTTGTTTCCTCGTTCGATGATGATTTTGCATAATCTTTGGACGTCTGAAAGAGAAAATGTTTAATTTTGTATAAAAACAAATAACATATATGATAAACTCTCACATTTTTAAAAACTGCCATCTGAAATTGAATGACTGTTATTGTGAAAGTATTACAGCAGTTTATAAATGAATCATGATATGGATATCCACTTGCATGGTTTTAAAATGGCTCTAGTTTAAATATTCCATTTGGCACACTGCCAAATGCAAATTTGGTATAATGTTACGGTTATATGACTTTCTATTATAAAGGGATAGATATAGGAAAACTAGATGGTTGAGTGAGAAAATATTCACATTTTATCATTGTTAGTGAATGTTTTCTCCTTAATATAGGCCTACTATTGTTTTCTTTTTTATTCCAATAGTTTCAGATTTTGATTGTTCGAATAAATCAACGTGATTAGAAGCTCTTTAAGTTTGGGAAAACAGTGAATGTTTTCTGGGAATGTTTAGGTTAATGTATGTTGAATTCATGGATTATGACGAAACAGTTAACTTCATAAAGTAGGTGGGGACATTGAAGAGGTTATCTAATACGGATGCGACAGAAAAACGTCCACAAATGAGTGCTTTTACCCTAACCCTAATAGTTGATCTTAGCGAGAACATGAATCTTAGTCTACATAACATGTGTGAAGGACTTGATAATTCATCAAAAAGTTTTTCAGTTGTAAGAAATGCACTGAAAAAGATACTTTTAGTGAATGCATTTCCAGGTCATATGCTCTGTCAAAAGAAAAAAATGAAAGGTGAATTGTTCAGTTTACTTTCAATTGTAGGTATGGAATGTGAGGCAAGCAGTTTTTAAAAATTAAAAACATATTTTTTTAACAAACCAAATAGTTAATAAGAATATGATGAGTATAATTGTAAATAAATCTATATTATAGAGTTTATAGGCTGGCATATCTATTGCAGAATGTCTTAAATGGTTGCCACCAAACTTTAAAATGTGCTCAATCCAATATACAGCTTTTTCCAAAGGTTTTGGTTTTTGAGAATTGAGAAGAGAGGAAACTCTTCTTGCTGATTCTGAATAGGATTTTACTTTTAACATTTTAAAAATATACTCATTAAGGGATGATACACCCTTTGTATGGAATGGTAAAATTTCTAAAGCGCCGTGTCTTTTAAAACGGACTGAGTTGTCCATACTATCAGCAGGTAGAGGTAGGACTAAAACTGGAGTACTGTGATACATTGCCTCGTAAACGGAATTTAAACCACCATGAGATATAAGTAGAACACAATTTTCTTTAGAAAGAAGATAAACTTGAGGAATCCATTTGAAGATATGAATATTTGAATATTCTTTATCCAACTGACACTTTAATGACCAAATCCAGTGGATATCTTTAAAATTTTTAAGAATATTACTTATTTTTTCTAACAAGGTAGGATGGTGGCAAAAGTCTAAAGCGCTTCCAAAGGCGATAATACCAAATCTGTGAGTAGTTATATTAATTTAAGAGAGATAAGTAAATATACAACCATTTTGTTACCTTTTGATGGTAATTTCATGGAATTTTTGGTGAATATTTGTATCATCTACTGGCTGAGATGCTAAAATCCCACCAACTTGTACTATGTTTGGTGTTAAAGGACGTGGAAATTCAAAAATATAGTCCGAATTCACAAGGAATAGTTGGGCATCTTTTCGAATTTCAGATATACTTTTACCTGGAGAAATTTTCATTTCCACTTTTAAATCTTCAAAAATCCTATCCAAATTATCCAGAACAACTGTTAAGTGGATATTTGAAATGATATTTCTCATTCTATCAATAATTGTCATCTTATCAGTTAAAGAACTCAAAAAGGTTGGAACCCATGACACTGGTCCAGGTATGGCTGCTTGGGAATATGTTATATAGGACGAACATTCGTACATGACGAATGGTTTCTTATATTTTTCAACTAATAGGAAACCACAAAAGAAATATTGATCAATAACAATTAGGTCAAATTTTTTGAGTCGTTCCTCAACTGAACAATCCGACAACATTGTTCGGCAATCTTCGATAAAAGCATCCCAAACAACTTTATACAACTTATCCATTTTTATATAAGATATGTTCTGATATAACGAATCAATTGAACTATTTCTGATAGCTTCCCCAACCAATTCAACATGCTCTGGGGAAACTGGGGAAGATATCTCAAAAAGTGAAATATTACCAAGATTGTCCAGGCGAACAGTTCCTTGTTTTGAAATGCTAACTTGATGTCCGGATTTAATTAATCCTTTTCCAAGAGCAATAAGATTATCTGCATGACTCTTTGTTGAATATTTTGTTACTGGTGGTGTTAATAACAACAGATTTGAACTTAAACTTGAAGTTATCCATTGGCTTAGAAGTAAAATTCGAATAAGCATTTTTCCTTCTTTTTCTTGTTGAATACTGGTTGCTTCTTTATCAGAGAGACTACTATCAGTAATTGTCATTATTTATATTCCAGATAGTACGATCTTATCTATGTGAGATGATTGAATCAGTTACTTGTCGTATTTCATTTTTTTGTGCAATAGTTGAAGAAATATAGGACAAATAAGATATTACAAGATACTTCTTATCCTCTGATCGCACATTCCAAAAAGTTTATGTCCAATCTACAACTCTATACTCTGACCTTTAAAAAAATAGCATATTTACTGGATTTTTTATTTAATTCAGAGAAGACACTAGATGTCACTCCTGCGTTTTTCCAATTTTATCTTAATTAAACAAAACGAAACAAACAGATAAGAAATTAAGAGTTTGCGATTCAAATTTTAACATTCCACCGCCAATTGATGAGTGTTTTACGCTTTTTTGAATTCAAAATGGATGTTTTACAGAAGGATTTAGGACTAATGAATTTCAATCAACATTAACTATTTTAAATTTTGAGAATTATGCTAAAGAAACGTTTGAAGCTGCCAAAGGAGCATGTATTGTCAACTTCTATTCTGAACATTACAGACTGATACGTTTTGAACAAAATTATTGGGGGAAAATGTAGCATTTAATAGGCCTATTGAGTACATAGGTACCAAATAACCAGTGATAAAATGCATTCAATGTTATGTCCGAAAGGTGGCGTTAAAGGTCAATTTGTTGTTTTCCTCTCTAAGGAAACTGATAGCAAAAGCATTAAATTGAGAGAAATTGGTGTGTTTGGGAAATATTTAAGGGTTTCTGATCAGAAAAATACCAATAAAGTGGACGACATGTATATATGGACACCGTAAATTTTGATAGGCCAATTTTTAATTAATGGTTAAAATTGTTTGTCCTCTGCAAATTAGTATTTTTTGTCTAAATTTATATAGAAAAAGAGTTAAATTGACATAATATTGAAAAAAATTTAAGAAAATGATAATATTTTGTGAAGATTATTAGCAAAAATTTTTAATAATTTTCATAAGTTTTTTCTTTATTTGGCCGCGCGACATGTTTATTGGAACATTGAGTTGACATCTGGTTTGACATTCAAATAGACATCTCAAACAAAAAATTTTTCAACTTTTTTCCTGTTTTAAGTTAAGTTAATTAGTTATTGAATATTAAAAATTACTGTACATAATTTATATTGTATTTTTTAATTATAGTTTGGAGTCAAGATTTAAGGGATTTGGTAATCAAGAAATTTAGTAAAATAGGGAAATTAAGGGCAACAGCAAGAGTTTTAGGAATGGCACCATCATCAGTCAGTAACATATTGAAGTACAAGCAGCCAGAACAAGACAATAGGGGAGGTCTGAAGAAGCTTTCTGACAGAGAGATAGCAAGGATGAAAAGAATTATAAAGAAACTAAAAGATAACAAGCAAAGAGTGACAGCAGCAAAGATATTAAAGGAATTAGAAGTAGATGTAAGTGTAAGAACAATACAGAGGGAGCTGAAAAGACAAAATTTCAAATATAAAAGAGTCAGACAAAGAACTGATCTCACCTCCAAAGACTGTAAACACAGAAAAGTGTACTGCCTCAAAGTTATTAGTGAAAATCTAGACTGGTCTAGGGTTATTTTTACTGATGAGGCTAGCCTGATAAGTGGACCTGATGATTTTAAGACTTGGACCAGTAACAGCGAAAAGGACTTCAGGGTCACAAAAAATATGGGGAGAGGCGGGGTATTGGTGTGGGGGTTGATAACCTCTGATGGCATATTTGAAGTCTGGAGGATAAGGAGCAAGCTGAATACTGAAAACTATAGCTCCTTCATTGTGGAAGATGTTCTGCCTGTGATAGAAGAAATTGAGGCAAAAATGGGCAGGCAGTACATCTTCCAGCAAGACAATGCTGGCTGTCACTGCAAGAAAAATGAAAAGGGCCTTTAAAATCAATGACATCAAACCAATAGATTGGTCAGCCAGGAGCCTTGATCTGAGTCCAATAGAGAACATGTGGCATCTGACCAAGACAATGGTCTATGATGGTCCACAGTTCGAGACAGAGGTTGAACTGTGGGAAAAGATTAAGAAATGCTCCTACAAGGTTATCAACAGAAATCCACTCTTGTTGCCAAGTTTATATGAGGGAATGGGCCATAGAATAAGCAAATGTATAGAAAGAGAGGGTGGGCACATACAAAAATAGATCAAAATTTAACTATTGAACATTGTTCCAATAAACAATAAGAAAAAAAAATCAGAAAACTATGGTAATTTCTATAAAAAAAAAATATGTAAAAATGTACTGCTGTTTTAAAGAAATTTATATAAAGTTGCAAATTTAACCTATTATTAAATACTAAAAAAATAAAAAATATAATCTTTTTTCATCACAAAAAAGATTTTTAATATTTGGCCTATAAAAATTTCAGGTGTTCGAACATACCTGTCATCCACTTTATATTACTCAATAAACCAGCATGGAGTGATTCGATTTTCAATCCAGAATTTGTAACCCATAACAGTGTAAATGGAAATTATGCAGATTTATTCCATTCAAGAAACAGAGGCAAACCATGGATAAGGATTAATATGCTTGGAATTTATCAAATTCTCCAGATGGCCATAAAAAATAGAGACACCAAGTAAGAATTAAGAAAATACCTCTCCCTTATCAATTCACTTTCTCTTTCAGATCATCAGAGAGCAAGATATATTGCTGGATTAGTATCAGATTATCAAAAGTTTGACATTGACCTTGAACATTTCTACTCGAAAACTTGTTTTATTAATAATTTCAACTTTACTGGTGGAGAATATAGAATTTGGAATTGTAGCCAACCGTTTCCAGTTGGGCGTTACGTAATTTTCTATTTAAATTCCAGTCATGTCTTTTTCAATATGAGGGAATTTGAGGCATATGGTGAAAAATCAATAGATAATGATTCAAATATTTTACCATTGATCAAAAGTGATAGAAATGTAAATACAAAACTATACAGTATACAGACAGAGAAGATAATGAGCAATATCCACTAAAGATTATTGATGGTTTGAGCAGCAATTCAAATTATCCAGATAAATTTTTATCATGTTCTGGAACATTGACAACTGATGATAATTTTGAAGCAAGACTTACTGTTTATATGGATAATTATTACATGGTTAATCAACTTGTTCTTCTACTGATCTCTTTACATGAAAAAGGTTCTACCAGTTTTCTTTCTCTTTCTCTCTTTTTCAGTTAAGTACCAGTTTTTTTAACAATAGAAAATTTTGAAAATGTTCAGATGGCAGTTGAAATCTTTAATAATGTATTACAATGACAAGTTTGCTCTTTAGCAAATGAATCTTCAGTGGAGCATTTATTATATGAATGTAACTTTATTGGCGATAGAGTATCATTCTATAACATTGGCGGGAATAAATTTATGAAAATATGTGAAATATTTATTCTTGGCAAAAGAAAACCTTACAGCAATGATAGTTTAGGCAAATTTACTTTTGGAACTTTAGGTTACTCACTGAATACTACAACAATTGAACCGAATTCAAATTGTCTACTTTCTCCTACTAAAGACAATTACATTCAATTTCCAGTTTATTCCAGATTTTTTGCAGTTGGTTTTTTATTGTCTGAAACTGTAAATTTTCTCTCTTCGCCCCCTTTGAAAATTTATGGGGTAACACCAACAACCGAAACGCTATGTAAAACTTTTACAGATATTCTCAAAATTTCAAATGCTACGTATTTTACGTTCTACTGCAAAAATGAAATTGTTGCAAAATACATAAGATTTTATTCAGAAGACAAATCGTATTCAATGTGTAGTTATTAAAATAATGTTTTGATAAATGAGGGAAAAAATCCCAATTCAATTCAATTCTCTTGAATATTTTCATTCAATTCTACACAGTTAAATTACTTTTAAAATTGGAAAATATTGTCCCAAAATCCATCTATATTTACTCTTCAAAGTTCAATATGACTTTTCAACAATGTTTCAATTATTGTATCAGTGACGCAAATTGTGAAAATATGATTTATTCCATTTCTAGAAAAAAACTGCAGTTTAAGCAATTTTGCAGTTTTAAAAACTTTGAAAAATTATACAACGGAATCGTCTATGACAAAAGTATTGATTTTATATAAAATATATTATAACCCTTTTGAATTTTGTTAAACATTCCAAACCGGAAGTTGAAAAGTTGAATAAATATATCGAGTATAGAATTCGATATTCATCTTGATTAAACAATATATTTTGACTACTTAACATAGATTATTGACAAAAAAAAAAACATCTTGATTTCAAGCTCTTGAATTACTTCCCTGCAGTTTTACATGCAGAAAATCATTTCTAGATAAGGATAACACCACTGATAACAAATATGGATCATAATCATCCTTTTGGCCAGCATAGGAAGTTAATGGTAGATTATCATTAATTCTTATTTCATGTAAAGGATATGTTATAGATTCCAGTTTGCGGTATGACATACTTTGAAATCAAGTTTTATATTGTGAAATCTTGCAAATTCCGATTTATCAATATCAAAACTATTATAGCTGCAACAGTAAGGCTTATCTTTACTGTCTAATTTGAATAAGGCTAAAGATGTTGACAAATCGGCTTCGACTTAGGATGTTCAATTGGTCAAGGTTAAGCCAATGTCGTCTCCAGCTTGTATGAAGGTTGGAAAGTTTTTGGTCTGATGAGTTGCATGGCGGCCTATATAGAATGTATTAAAGTTTCTATATTGTTCCTTAGCGTTATTTACATAAAAGCTGACAATAGTGTCATCTATTGGATTAAATCTAGAACTAAATCCAACAAAATATAAACCAGATTCACTTACTTGTAAATGATTATTTTCCAATCTAAAACCTCTCACAGCCATGATAATTGATAAAGGAATTAATGATGATTTCTCAATCCATTCGTCATCTTAAGTGCCAAAGAAATTCAAACTAGTTTTGTAATAAAAACCAGCCCACAATGTATTACTACCGCCAGTTATGTTTGCAGTACTATAGGCTTGTTGAGCAACTCTCTATCAGTTTCATCCAACTGAAGATTCTACAACCGTTGCTGTCATTAATAAAAAGTGCATTCCAGATCTTGGTATAAGACTATTATCAGATTGATTGAATAAGTCTCGAGAATTTAAATTCACTATTCCCCAATGCATTCTTCCTTCCTCAACATTTGCAGATTTATCAACTGAAACCATAAATGCTGGATTATCTGCCTCTTTAACCAGAACATTCCAATTTCCAGTCAGGTCAAAAACATTTGAACTGCAAAGAATAACAAATAAACAAATATTTTTGATCAAGCTGATGGAAAGCCTA